CAGGGACAGGGACAGGGACACGGGACACGGGACACGGGACACGGGACACGGCGGGCAGCGGGCCTGGGGCCGGGCGGGCTCTCCGAGGGTCTGTCCGTAACGAGGCCAAACTGCCTTTGCTCCCGGCAGCTCGGCCCGTGGCGCCGCGGATTTCCCCTGGCGCTCCTGCGGCCCGCCGTCTGCCATGACAACCATCGGCGACCTCCCCGAGGACGTGCTGGTGGAGCTGCTGTCGCTGCTGCCCGCCCGGGACCTGCTCCGCACCTGCCGGCTGGTGTGCACGCAGTGGCGCTACGTGGTGGATCTCACCACCCTGTGGAAGCGCAAGTGCCAGCGCGATGGGTTTTATCGTCACAGCTTGGACAGAAGCATCTCGGACTGGAGGATCTTCTATATGCTCTGCCACTTGAAGAGAAACTTAATCAAAAACCCTTCTGCTGAAGGTTTGTTTCGTTATTTATAGTAAAGGACTGAGAGTTTCCGAGCAGTCAGAATGAGTCAGTGTTCTGCGTGCCTCAGCTGCTCCAGGGTGTGTAGCTCTGCTAGGTCAGATTCACAGCTCAACTCCTGCAATAAAACTGCTGTAGGTAGATAGGTTTGTATTTACCAATACTTTGTGGTTTTAGCCAGAAAAATCTGGAGTCATAAGGCTCCAGTGCAGCAGGCAGTGACAATTAATTTGCACTGCGAGTACAGTGTGGTAGTGAAACGATCAGGTATTGGGATTAAACATTTGGGCAGCTGGAGAACTTTTCTTACCAAAGACTTGATTAATATGACTATATTAATCCTAGTTTATTGCTGCTGCTGCTGATTTTCTGATGAGGTCAGAAATCTGCTACCTCCTGTCCTAGATGCTGACAGCCACATTAAAGGTAATGGCAGCATAATGACAGGAGTCACTTACAGCTGTAGGAAAAATACAGTGGATCTCAAAACACCAAGCAGCTTCCTAGAATTCTCCTGTTGCTGATTCTAATGAAAGCTGAGATCCTGCTGGTAGCTGAAGTGAGGTCCTAACCCTCACCTTGGACACCTGTGTTTTTAGAGGACTTCCAGCACTGGACACTTGATAATAACGAAGGAGATGAGTGGAAAATTGAGGATCTGCCTGGAGCTCACGGAAATGATATGCCAGACCCCTCAGTACACAAATACTTTGTCACTTCATATGGGTAAGAACTGGATTCCAGTAACCTGGAACTGGAAACTACTTCCTCCCATCTGTCTGAAAAGGCACCATGGTTAGAAGGCTGCTGGTGGGTCTGAACCTTAGGTCACCTGTGGGAAAAGGAAGGAGCTTCATTAACCCTTTATGCCAGTTAATCTAAAGAGATGGGTACTGCTGAGAGAATTGATCACAGCAGGTGCTAAATATCTCTGCCTACCAGCAACTTCCTGCAATTTTTGTATTTAGGATAATCCACATGGGATCCCTGCTTCTCCTCTCCCAAAGGTGGTAGGGAAAGGTTAAGGGTCTGAGAAACTTAATCAACTTACATGACAAGGTCAAAGCTCTGTAACCTACAGGAGTGGTAGGTGTGTCACACTAAGACTTGTAGTAAAAGCTGTCATCAGAGGAGGATCAACAGCTTTTACAAGCACTAGGCACTGGTTTCCTGTTACCAATACATGAGTACAGAGTCTCCCCTTAATCCAGCTTGTAGGTAACTATTCTTTTTATCTTGGGGTGAAGCTAATTCAGTTAATTTTTTTGTCAGGTTCTGGCTAAGGATAAGGATATGGATAAGTCAGGGTTTAGCCAGGGTCAGCCTTGTGGGCCTTCAGGATCTGGGTGGGTATTAAAGCTGTCAGGGAAAGGACAGCAAGAGAGAAGAGATGTGTTCTGTGGAACTGTATTTCTATGTCTGTTTCAGGCCATGCTTCAAGTCTCAACTCATTACCCTGAAGAAAGAAGGCTATTGGAATCAGCTGATGGATGAGAAACGGCCTGAAATTACAGTCAAGGACTGGTGAGTGGAACCACTGAAAATTAGAATTACTGGCATTGGTCTAGAGGTAAGCTAGGCTTCTGGAACTTTTCATGCTAAAAATTCAGTTCTTTATTCTTTGAGAGGTGTAGTTCTTGAGTAAAGAGTAAACTAAATCTAAACTTAGTGGACTACAAGGTGGCAATCTGAAAGGTGATGAAATGATGAGATGACTGAAAGGTGGGAGAGCTTTAAATTCTAGAACTTCTCTATAGCTGTGGGGATGACATTCCTTTTCCTCTGCAGACAGGGATCCCCTTGAAGACTGCTTTTGAAAAATAAAGAGAACTGAATGCTGTATACACAGCCCTGCTCCTTGATTCCTCCTGCCTCTCCAGGTACGCTGCCAGGTTTGACTGCGGGTGCCGCTACGAGCTCACCGTGAGGCTGCTCTCCAAAGATTACATCGTCCTGGAGGAATTCCACCCTGAGCCAGTGGTCATTGAGCAGTGGAGTGATGCCAAGTGGAGAGAGGTGAGCAGCAGCCCTGGAGGCAGGAGCTTTACAGCAGTGTTGTGACATTTGTGTGTTGCAAGTCTTACTTGGCCAAAAGTGCCAGTGGACTTTCTCTGCTCTTCAGCCTCCTCTACTCCATGGAGAAGGTGAGTCAGTCCTTGCTGTTGATGATGCTGAAGAAGCAGTTGTGTCCTCAATGAGACAGGTGCTATTTTTAGGTGCCCAGCATTGTGGGTTTCTGTGTTGTTTTAGTGCAGTCTTTTTAATTGTTTCTTGGTTTTGTGTAATATTCTATCTAAATAATTAAATAACAAGAGCAGATTTTAGGGATTTTTTGGATCAAAAATCTGTTTTAAAACTACTGCATGGATAGCCAAGTATTGAAGACTTAACTTTTCTTAAACTGTTAGAGGTGTTTAACTGGTTTGATTTACTGTACATTCTGCATTAGATGTTACTTATACATGCACTTAAGAATCAAGGTTAATATTAGTTTAAGTCAGGATTTTGGGAGAATGAGAAAGGTTTCTTTCCCCTCCCCATCCCCCAAAAAAGGAAGAAAGGGCAGGTATGTTGCACTTTAAATGAAAGATACCTGAGCTCAGGAAGAGCTCATTCTAAGAACTCACACACTGTATTTTTCTGAGTTTCTAGGTGAGCGCTGGTTTATTTACACAAATTCAGAGGAATTCTCTTTTGTCTCCAGATTTCTCACACCTTCCAGAATTACCCAGAAGGAGTTCGTTACATCTGGTTTCAGCACGGAGGCCAGGACACCCAGTTCTGGGCAGGATGGTACGGGATCCGAGTGACAAACAGCAGCATCACCATTGGGCCCCAGACGTCGTTATGAAGCACAGTGCAAGGGTTTGCTTTTACCTCAGGACTGTAACCAGCTGGCCTCAGGTGCACTATTTGCCTGTACTCTCTGGGTGTGTCCTAGCTTTGTCTTGCAGCTCTTGTTCACAGCAGAACTTCTGCAGGCCCAGCCCTTTGGAAGGGCTTCTGTCTTCATCTCCGTCCTCGTCTACCATGGATGCTACTCCAGTACTGGTGCCCTTCCAGAGAAAAACTGGGACAATTAAATATGAGATCTATCTTTTCTAGTTAATACATTCTTATGCTAACACACAGAGTGTTAAAGATACTTTCTTGTTTATGGAACTTAAGAAAGATAAGGCTAAAATGTTTAATTTCAGATTACCAATGGTATCTACAAGGACTCTGCCACAGATTGCTTTGTATGGTATTTTCTTTCCTGTTTTCAGTTTTAAGATTCAGTTAAGATTTATGATCTGCATCAGACACTTCCTAGCACAGGAAACTGTCACCCTTTGTTCCTAAGTGCTGTGTCACTGGTAGTGAATTCCTTGCCCTTTCTTCAAGTGTGTGATCAAAATGGTATCTGCCTTCCTATCCAAAACAGTCCCTTGGTGTTTGAATAAACAGGGAGAGAAAGAGAAGGTAGGGAGTCCCTTCAGGCAGTTGCCTAACAACACAAGAGCCTTTTGATTGTGCTGGGCTTTTCTCACATCACCACTGGTTTGTACTGAGCAGTGTAACCCAATATAAAATGTTAAAGCAGTGTCCAGCCTTGTTCTAGGAGGAAGCAGGAGGTACTGGACAGGCTAGTGTACCAAATTCTCTGACAAACAAGTTCAGCTCACTGTGAACAGTGTCTGCCACCCTTATATACTCAGAATTAATGCTAAGGCCGTATTCCATCTCCTCTGACAGGCACAGGATTAACAGTGCTTTCCTTACCTATTCTCTGTTAGGAGTAGGATACTTGGCAGGTGTCCTTGCTGGGCAGACAAATTCCACATTGCTAATGCCACCTCTGAGTGAAAGGGGAGAGACCAAGGTTGTACAGCCTTTCAGAGGAACTGACAGAGTCCACATATGGGCCAGAAAAGTGGTGGAAGCTCCACAGAAAATAAAAATACTTCCTCATCAAAGAAGGGAGCCTGGTTTTGACAGAACTCAGCCCAGTTCAGCTGGGGTAAAACTTAATATTTATTGAAGACTACTTGGGATAGTCACAGTGGACAGACACTACATAAGGCCTCACTCCCCCTTAGCACAAATGTTGCTCTCATGGATTGTGTGACAGCTCCTTGCTGTCTGTCACTGCCTGTGTGCAATGGAGCTGCCCTTTTCAGGTGAGAACTGGGCTGGTAATAAAGCACTGACTCCCCAGGGATGCACTGTATCAACTCCTGTACTCTCACACAAGTCAACATGGGAACAGGCTCTGGCTCCCCATCCCAAGTCAGTTCTTTATACAGTGGTAAGAGCACTTAAAACAAAGAGGCAGCAGCTGCTCTACATTCACCCAGAAGGCCAGCTGAAGAGATGGTCATCAAGATACAGTTTGTGACAGATCTTACTCCACTGGAAGATCAGATGAAGCTTGAAGGCAAGGAAGATTTGAAATCAGGTGCCTTTGTGAGCTCGCTCTTCTACGTACAGCTGCATCTAGAGGGAGAAAAAGCAACAGTCCAGTGTTGGTATACAGGTAGGTGAATGGAAAAAAAAAAGAAAGGCCTGCAACAGGCTGAATAGGTGTTGTTTATACCTTCCCCCATAACCAGGTTTCCTGTTTTACTATGAGGAATCTTGCCCTGCTTTGATTACTGGCACAGACATCTGTAAGACTAAGCTACTGCTCACCAGTATTTTTTAAAGTTGTAACACCACAGAAAACTGCAGAGCTGGTGTCAGAGCATTCAAAGTTCAGAACTACAGCAGGTTCAGCACCTCTTGGTCAGAATGTTCTGCTCACCTTTAAGATGTCAGATGTCATGGTTTTCAGGGGAATAAGCCGGGGGTCGTGCATATGCACATCTTGCTCATCAGCGAGGATCCAAGGGAAGTCCTGGGGGCAGGAACACAAGGTGTTACTGCCAGAACCCAGCAGTGCTGTGAGCTCCTCCTCAGCACTTGCTTTGTGTTAAAAGAGAGACAGACTGGCTGAGGGAACAGGTAATTCAAACCTTACACACTTGTCCCTCATGCTCAACATAATTATTTTCAGTTACAGCATCAAACTGTGAGATCAACCCACTTCACTTACTGCAGAGGTGACGTCTCACTTCTTGAAAGTGAGATGAGTAAGATACACTCTCAGCTGTCCTGAGCTACCATGCCTAGTTCAGTACACCAGGATTTAACTGCAACTCCAGAATGCTTAGGGCATGGGTTTCCATCCTGCCTTGGAAGTCTAAAGGTGGTTCTACTACACCACAAGTTTCCATTTCTAAACAGTGCAGAACAGACTTTCATTTTGAAACAATTTTATACTTGGCTAGCTTTATTTCTTGTGCCTTAGGACACCTAAAATAACTTGACTCAGGAAAAAAGTTCCTTGTATCTAAGCAAAGATTCCTTAAAAATAGTCTTCCTTCATAAAGTGTTCTGCACAGTTTCCTGCAAGATAAAATGTATTTGTGCCCCCAAACCTACTCCTTACTTGAATCTTCGTCTTTCTTGTTCTTTACACAAAATCAGCTACCACACAGTGGATGGTGGGTGAGGGCTTTTTTTCTTGATTAAATTCAAGTACCTATTCTACATGCCTGAGTATTTCTAAGTGTTTCTAAGCAAGCACTGGGCAGTGAGTATTGTTACAATCTATTTCAAGACTTGAAGTTGTCTGAAGTTGTGGCTGTGTGTGGCAAATGTGTTCAGCTCACCAGCACATTTCACCACGTTTCAAGTACAGTTATGTTGTCATGTGACACCAACCTATGTTCAAAATACCTCTCAGCCTTAACCTTAGAGATGCCAAAACTGCACTGCCCAGTCTTTGCTCTGCAGCTTTTTACACACAATCAGGTGTCCAAGGGTATCACTCACCTTTATCACCTGGATCTTTTCCATGTTGCGTGTGGCAGCCTCCCGTGTGTGAACCAGAACTGTGAAGGTGCAACCTAAGAGAAGTATCAGGTTCCAGCTCAGGGGACAGCTCCCAGAGGATTGGCCAAGCCAAGGAATGCCAAGCATTAGGCTGCTGGGATCCAAGTGACATTTATTTACCTGGGGGGTTGTTGTCCAGCACGGCATCACAAACGCTGATTTTCAGGATGAAGGCACGCAGTAACTGCTCCACGTGGGACAGCAGGGACTCGGAACTGTGGAGGAGACAGCAGTTGTTACTGACATGCAGCAAAGGCCTAAAGTTGCTCCCAGAATATCTCCCAGGACTGGGTGTTGGATGCCATGGGCAAGCAGGAGTGGAAACCTCACCTAATGGAAAGAAGAGGTGGCTGGGTGATCTCAAAGACAAATCTCTCCACGGGGTGGTGCTCTTTATCCAGGATTACAACCACAACTTTCTCCACGTCGTTCTGCAGGAACCAAGACAAAAAAATCTCTTCCTTAGTACGAGCTGTCTGCTGCCCACAGTGTGCTTCATGTACTTTGATGCAGTGGAGTACACTCAGTTGCTGGGGCCAAGAGAACAAACCTTTATCCAAAACCTTAGTCCAGATTATTCTTAGCAATCAGAAAAAATGCCTTTGCAAAGCCATTTCTTGCTGGGTGGCTAAGGCTGGGGGAGATGAAGTGTGCTAAATTCCTCTAGATCCTGTTTTGGAACAAGGGAGGAAATGCACAGCCATCTCACTGCATCACTCTGGACACCAATGAAGTTAAGATACATTCAGACCATTGCCTAAACAGAACAGCTTTATACAACCACAATTTAAAACAGACTTAATTCCATTTTCTACATGTGCATTCAAATTGTCTATAAAGAGTGAGGCATACAAAGCCTGCCAGCAGCCTCCTGGAATGTTTCATTGGTCACATCCTTCTCTCAAAAAACCTGGAGTCCAGACCTACCTTTGCTTGCTGGTTCACAGCAAAGCATTCAAACTGTTCTGCCACAACAGGTGCTTAAATTGGGATGGATTGTAAAGCAGAATGATAGAATGATGTAAATATACAGACATGTCCTTGTGTGGTATATGAGACAAGCAAGGCAGGGTCTTAACTGCCAGGAAAAGTTATGATTTTAGGTTTTAGTTTTGTTAGGAACTTTTATCAGCTACTATATTGTATATGGTAAATTTGTAAACTAATGTTGCAGTTAAGGTAATATTTATGTTGTCTTACTTTCTATCAAATCCTCTTGCAGTATTTTAGCCCAGGTCCCTGGTTTGAGCTCACCTTCTCCAGCAATGGCTTTACGCAGTGCAGTGTGTCCTGGATGTACTGGTTCAGCTCTGGGTGGCAGGACATCTGTAGCAAACACAGGGAAGAGTCAGAGCTGTGTTTGATTTGAGCCAGGACAATACTAAAAGGGAAGATTTAAACAGAAGCACCAGTGTGTACAAGGCATTCAAGTCATGCTTCAAATAGTGCTGGAAAATGCAGAGTTGCCCATTCAAACCAGCAATTCTTTCAGGGAAGGGTTAATCAGCTGAAGCAGATCATGGCACCCACACAGTTGTTGTATATCTGGAATGTATACCCACAACAGCATATTTGGAACAGCATATTCCAACCATCTCTACTTCCTAGGAAACATACTTTCCTGTTACCTCACTGCAGAGCTGGGCAGCCTTCCACTACTGTTGTCCATGACCTGCTTGTTCCATGAGCACTTGCTGTATCCTCAGCTACAGGGCTTTTCTCTCTTATGAGAGGAACTAAGCTCTCCTCAAAAATCAGGCTGTACATTAAACAATCACTTCCAGAGTGTAAGTTTTTTCTGGTGAATGTTGGCTGTTTTGTTTGTCCATGTGGTTGTCAGCTTCCAGGAAAAATCTCCTACCTGGACAGGTACATTGTATTTCTTCCTCTTCTGGAAGATCCCAATAGGGTAAACTTCTCTGACGTACAAGATGAGGTGAACAGCCACTTCCAGGAATTCTGAAAGAACATCTGCAACAACTGAAAAACAGAAGTAAAGGATGCTGGAATAGGGTGTGGGAAAGTAGAGCAATACCAAAGGCTCAGGGGAATTTTTTTACAAGTATTTTTTTCTGCATAAATTCCACCTGCCTCCTCTTAGCTGCAGAAAGTTTAGAGCAACCTACAGCAACACTCCCCCAAGCTCAGTGCCCAAGAGCCTCACAAGGACACCAGCTGCCCTCAGTACAGCACCTTACCTTGCCCAAAGTTAAGGTCCTGCCGTGTGAGAGTGGTCATCTTCCCCAGGCCCTGGAAGTAACCACAAAAGGAATGGTTATCCTCTGGCTCCTGTATTATTCATCTAGTCAGTTCATGGAGCTGTATACCAGGAGACCTGTGAACCCACAGTGAGAGGTGTAAGCACCCCCCATAAGCACAACATGTCCTCAGGAATTACCAGCAGTGCACAAAACTCAGGATGAGAGATCATTCATAATTTAATTCCAGGGGTTTTCAGTCTCTCTCCCTTTCTGGGATGCAGGAAAGTTCAGACAAATACTTTCTAGTAACACAAGAAACACTGTTTTTCTAAAGCTTCACAGTACTTGCCTTTTCTAAGCCCTATCTCCTCCTATAACACAAGAACTTCTCAGGGTTTTGGGTTTATTCTAACACCACCATGAACCATTGCTTCTCCAAGCTTGGAGCTACATCCTCCACTGACACACCATCACACAGGTTCTCACCTGCTGCCACTGCCAACAGCTTCTGAGTTTCTCTGTGCAGTCCCAAGGAACCCAAACCCTGCAGAGCTGCATAATTAAGTCAACTTTGTCACACAGGATTATGGAATACCTCAGGTTGGAAGGCACCCATAAGGATCACAGAGTACAACTCCCTGCTCCTCACTACCTAAAGGACCACCTAAATTAAACTATGTGACCTAGAGCATCATTCAGCTGCTCCTTGAACTCTGTAGGGCTACATCCCTGGGGAGCCTGAAACTTGTGAGCTACAAAGGGCAACACATTATGGTGACAAATTGAGTTTCACATGCCAACAATCAAACAGCAGATGCTGAAGTTCAGCTTCCCAGAAGCTTTCCCTGCATAGCAGACTCCATGCCTTACACAATTTAAGCCACAGTGTACATAATTATCTATTAAAAACTTTAATTTGTTTCATTATTTTATCCACTCTCTCTGCATGCAAGCAAATTCTAACCACTAACAGCAGCACCGTTCATGAACTGCAGAGGTCTTTAAATGCCTGTGGAGCACCCTGGCTCCACCAGTAACTCGGGTATCCTACAAAGACTTTTGACAAACCACAAATGTTCCAATCAGCTCTTTAGACACTGATTTTCAAGCTGTTTCAGCTGAAACAAAACATGTTTTTCAGACCTACGAAGAATTTGTTCAACCTGCACAAAACAGGGGCTACTCTCATCCCCAGTTTTTGAAAAACAGAGTTAAACCACTGTATACAAGGAATTCCTGGAATATTAGTGATCTGCTACACTAAATAAAATTAAGGTAGTTAAGCATCTCTCTAGCACTCCAGCCACAGTGTCTCAAACTAGTACAAAAAGTAATAATACAAATTAATACTAGTATTAGTATTAATGCTAGTATTAATTTGTACATATATACGTACAACACAAATACTCATACTAGTACAAAAAAATCTAGAGTATCATAAACAATGTATGTTTCTAGGTTTAAGTTCACATCCTCACTTAAACTTCATCCCTTCTTAAAGAGAGGCTCAAGCAACCCAAAGGATCCACCCTTCCACAGAGTCACAAAGTAGGAACTCAAGGACTGTGCAGGCTGGAAGATCATGGAATCACACAACAGTTTGGGTTGGAAGGGACCTTAAAGCTCATCGTATTCCAACACCCTGCCAGAAGCAGGGCCACCTTCCACTATCCCAGGCTGGTACAAACTCCATCCAAGCTGGCCTCGGACATTTCCAGGGATGGGGAATACCATGGGTTATACCATGGGTTATACCATGGGTTATACCATGTGCTATAACCCAGACTCTTCCAGTGCCTGTCACTGTAGAGCACTAGCCCAGCACAGCCGGCACAGGCCACCTCAGCAGCCCCGCCGTGCCCTGCCCGTGCCCACCGCCGCTCCCTCGCCCACTCCGGTGTCTCAACACAAGGGAGGGTGGACGGGGACAGCTCCCTGGAGCGTCCAGCTCCCACTGGACGCGCGGCACCGCCTTCCCTCAGCATTCCCGAGCCCCGGGACCGCCCGCTCGCCGCTGCTCCCTCCCGAGACGGGGCTCCTCGCACGGCCCG